TCCAACAGATGAGCTGAACTTGTCAACTGAAACTGGGTTGTTGCCATGACTTGCTTGGCTGGTGCGGTTGATGAGCATGGCATGCTGGCTTCGCCCACATGCCCTGGGCAGAGATGCGGAGCAGCCATAATCTAGCAGATGAGTCGATCTTGTCATGCTGACTGCTGTTGAGTACAGGGCTTGCTTGAGTTGAGTGTTGTTGACTTAGCCAGTATGACTGAAGGCACAGATGCGGAGTAAAAAAAACCCGCAGATGAGATAAACTTGCTGTCTTGAGTCGCCTCGCCTGTGTGGCTGTTGCAGATCAACGGAGGATGACGTTTTGACTTAGCCAGCATGACTGAGGGCACAGATGCGGAGCAGAAGAATCCAACAGATGAGCTGAACTTGTCAAGTGAAACTGGGTTGTTGCCATGACTTGCTTGGCTGGTGCGGTTGATGAGCATGGCATGTTGGCTTCGCCCACATGCCCTGGGCAGAGATGCGGAGCAGCCATAATCTAGCAGATGAGTCGATCTTGTCATGTTGACTGCTGTTGAGTACAGGGCTTGCTAGAGTTGAGTGTTGTTGACTTAGCCAGTATGAGTGAGGGCACAGATGCGGAGTAAAAAAAACCCGCAGATGGGATAAACTTGCTGTCTTGAGTCGCCTTGCCTGTGTGGGTGTTGCAGATCAACGGAGGATGACGTTTTGACTTAGCCAGCATGACTGAGGGCACAGATGCGGAGCAGAAGAATCCAACAGATGAGCTGAACTTGTCGATTTTAACAGGGTTTGTCGCACGACGTGGCTTTCATGTTTGCTCTGTTTCTATGCAGTATGAAGGAGCACGCATATACAAAGCGGAAGGATGCAACTTGTGGGTTGGATTACCGCTCGCTTCTATTGGTGTCGCTCAAGCCGGAATCCCAGAAGTGCTGTTGGTACCACGTTCGGTAAGAGAAGCCGGTGAAGTCTCTCCTCCGCTCCGTTCGCCTGTGCTGAATCGTGCCGTGAGCCCTGCTCGCAATCCTCTGCTCTTCATGGGAGTTTCCGAAAACTAGGGGTACCTTATTTTGGGGTCCTTATAATAAGGATCCTATTATTTAGGGTACTATATTAGGGTCCCCTATTATCGGAAACCCCCTCATTGTGTAGCCCATTGACACTGTTGGCCCCGGTTTGAATCACCTCGGAAAGATTCTGTTGCGCCCTGCTTCAGAAGGACGCAACGTTCCTGCCTGAGAGCCCAAGGGGTGTTCAGAATGAGAATTCCTGTGCTGCCGCTTTTTTTTAGAGTGTGGTGCCAGAGCGATCCTGACAGCCTTGCATGACCCCGAGTGTAAACACGGTGACCATCCCTGAGCCAGCTGTTCATGTGTTTTCGACAGTGGAGCGGGTATTTAAGTTCCTTTCCTTACCTGCGGCACCGCAACGATGGCTCCAGAGAGGACGCGCCAAGAGACGGAGGACTGTCCTTCTGCTCCTTGTGTGGCTCCCTGTGAGAGAAGCCGTGAGCAGGAGGCCGCAAAGGAAGATCGGGGCAGTGACAAGGCTGTGTCTGCAGCCGCTGCGATGACTCCACTGAGACTCTCTTCCACTGTCAGGCGAGTGACGATGAAGCACAAGTACCACTACCGCCGGTTCCCCGCCTGCCAACTAGTTTCAGCTGAACTCGACACCTCGAGAGAGTGCTGCAGATGACTGTGGGACTTTTGTGGGACGCTTCCTTTCGTTCGTTCACTCGTGATCTCCAGGAATTGACCGAGCATCCGAGCCCCGACGGCACGGCACTCAGTCTGTGTTGCATGGCTAAACCCTAAACCCTAAACCCTAAACCCTAAACCCCAGCAGAGGCGACATGGCGGAGTCAGTGATGGATCTACCCTGGCTGCCCTCGGGGACTCCCAGCTCGGACCACGACCGCAGGCCGCAGGACTCTTTCAGGATTGGGTTTAGGGTTTAGGGTTTAGGGTTTAAGGTTTAGGGTCTAGGGTTTAGGGTGGGCCTCGTGGGCCGGAACTCCGGAACGTTCCCACGTGCCAGAATTATGGGCGCTGCCGCTTCCATCGGTGGCACGGCTGGCTTGATGCTACTGGGCTTGATTACGGTGCAGAAGCAGCACTGAGTCTGTGCGTCGCCATCCGGGCGCCTTTTGAACTTAAATGTTTCATCGGACCTTTGTGGGAGCCCATGGGTTGCGAGCGTTTCTTGGACTGGAGCAGAATGTTGAACAAGTCCAGGTCCATGTCCACTGCTGTCCGCATCCGCTGTTAAACCCAAACTAATCGCTGCAGCTGCAGACCGAAGCGACGGTTTGCAGCTTGAAGCCGCGATCCAGAGTGAGTCTTCCAGCAAAGCGCGACAATTATTCGAGACAGGTTCTTCGTGCTCCGGCATCAGCTGGCATTTCCTGGCAAGATCGGGCAAGGTGAAAAGCGTGTCTCGTCTTCCGCTCGCATTTGAGGCTCGCCAACCCCGTCTCGGGCCTTGTCCTGGGAACTGCAGCAATGACTCTTGCCAGCAGGGAGGAAGGGGAGGACTTTCTGGGCGGGGGGGGGGGGCTTCCTTGACCTAAAGCCTAGGCCTAAACCCTAAACCCTAACCCCTAAACCCTAAACCCTAAACCCTAAACCCTAAACCAGGTATGCCACCTCCAGGGATGACACCGCTGGAGCCGTAGCTCGGAAGGCGCCCCGTTACTATCGCTTTTGGGGTCTGCCGTCTCTGCACTTCAGCTCGGAGACGAGCAGCTCCGAGGCTGGCGCCGTCTACCTCCACTTGGCCGATTGGGCCGTCGACAGGTGGTTTAGGGTTTAGGGTTTAGGATTTAGGGTTTAGGGTTTAGGGTCTGAGACCCGAAGCCGCAGAAGCATGGATCCGTTTTTGCGCGCTTTTCTCGTTGCAGGGGCCTTCAAGGCGTCCATCTGGCAGGCCAGGCCCTTGCCCATTGAACCCGGGATTCGGCCTCAGGGCATGTCTCGCAGGTGCTTTGGCGGAGGAAGGTTGCCGAAAGCTGCTGCAGAAGAGTGCCAGCTTGGATTTGGATGCTTGCCAACAGGCAGGGCCTGTCAGGGTCAAAGGAGAATCGGGAAGACCGAAATCACAAGCTTCAATCGCTTTCTAGTCCAGCCCTAAAGTGATCTCAAGTGGTGTAATTTGCTTGGGCAGAGTCGGAAAGCCGACGTGAGAGGCAATGTGACAAGGCTGTGCCGAGGATTCGTTGGCTCGTCATAGTGTGAGCAGGCCAAAGACTTAGAGGACAGGGCATCAATGATAGTTAGTGGCTAGCAAGGATGATAGGGCTGGCGGCACGCTCCATGCCTTGCAGGTTCCCGCGCCCGTGCGCAGGAAGCTGAAGAAATGGGTGCCGTGGACAGCACTCATATAATGTTGTAGTTTTTTGTAGCCTAGTAGTATGCCACATGACATGAAGACGTGCTGTGTGTATTCACGCTATGATTGTAAGTCCTCTGCTGGCCCTCCGCTTTTGCGGCTGTCTTTAGAGCGGCTGTCACGGGCCATAGCAGCTCGCGGCGACCGTTGCAGAAGACAGAGTGTGGTCACAATCCCGTTGTAGCACAGCTCCAAGAGATCCTAAAAGTATCGAAGACCACCTGAGCATTAACATGTCCTCAGCAACAATGACGAGCTCTGCTGAAAGTCGACGCCTGAAGCAGGGCAGAACCCCAACATTAAGATATACATTGTAAAAGCTCTACTCTACTCTTCTCTACTATTATATTATACTAATTATACTATACGACACGATACTTTACCATACTATGCCATATTATGTGAGACTACATTACAATGCTTGTGGTGTGAGAATTGGCAACTGAGTCTGGCCTCGCCAGCCAGGCCGGAGGGAATGGGAGCCCTCCCCCTCTCCCTCTTCCCGCTCTCTCTCCCACGCTCTCTCTCTCTCTCTCTCTCCCTCTTTCTTTCTGTCTCTGTCTCGGGTCTCGCTCTGTACAAGACTGTGTAGAAGATAACTTAGGGTAGCAGAGTTCGACAAAGCGGTACATGGTATGCTGTCTTGTGCGGATGCTTACTAAAGTTGCAAAGTAGAGAGGGCGACAAGAAACATCATCTTTCAGTGCAGCTGTTGGTGCAGCATGACACCAGATGCAGGCGATGTCGCGAGAGGTTCCGCGCCCACCTCCTGAGGAGGTTCGACCTTACAGACTCGACATCGCTAGTAGAACATGCGTGATGATTGTCATATCTTGCTGTTGTTTAGTCCCTTTCAGATCATCATCATCATCATCATCATGCCCACCACCTCCTCGCCCTCCCCCTCCCCCTCTTCCTGCTCTCCTCCTCCTCCTCCTCCTGGTGCTTGTCGTCGCCGTTCTTGTTGTAGCTGTTGCTCCTCCTGTTCCCTCTGATGCTGTTGGTGTTGTTGTGGTTGCCGTTGCCGCTTCGGTTGCTCGTCGTCGCCGTGGTGGTTGTAATTGTTGCTGCTGCTGTTGCCGTTGGTGTTGTTGTCGTCGGCAGAATGGGAAATAATTACTAATACTAGTTACTATAGTAGTTCACGATGATGATTTGCTGCAATGAAGCCCATCCTTGTGTAGCGTTCCTTTTGTGTTCTTGTAAACGAGCTCCACTGCCCGGTGCCCATCAATGCGATCCTTGTTTCGAGGTCGTGCGGCTGCGGGCCAGGACTCTTCTCACCCTGCAATGTGTGACTTTCTTGCGCTGCACTTTACCAACATGCAATCTAAGTCTAAGTCTACAGATACAGGAGCATAGCTTTCTGCATCTCTGGTGTGACCTGGGGTCTCTAATCTAGAAGGGTTGGACCTGCTGCTCTTGCCAAGCTGTTGCCTGCTGGCTAGATCGAATGATCTTTCTTGAGGATTCCACTAGACCGTGTGCCAGTCCTGTGTGAACCTTCCCGGCATGCGAGACTCGGACGCACTTGATTGTTTTCCGGCTTCCCGCAGTCTGCCCTACCGTGTCTGTGACTCAGGAATTTGCCGAAGATCAGCCAGCGAAAGTTCGCTGTGCCCGGCAGGCGCAGCGAGGATTTAGGGAGCATGCTCGTCTTTGGTGAAGGGAAGCTGCCCTTAAAGATGTCCAGACATCTTCCTGTCTATTCGTTCCCGGCCTGCAGCATGCTCTGCGGGGAGTTCAAGTACATGGTGCACAAGCATGCCCCGGGCTCAGAACGCGACGGACTTCTTGCGAAACTCAGGGACGGCTGTTGGATCGAATTGGCTCTGGGCATTGAGAGGTCATGCAGGCCATCGGCAAGCAATCTGCCAACGCCGAGCAGACGCTCTACATTTTCGTCCCCTGCTTAAGCATCTGCCCGCCTTGCACTTGAGCTCGTACAGTAAAGCCCCCCCCCCCCTGTAGGAACTTCGGCGGGCACTAGTCATCTGTAGTATGCACGTGGTTTTGTGATCCTCACCCTGTCAGCAGAAAATTTTGTAGTCCCTATGCCTTAGCATCCGGTGCGTTATTTGGTACGGTAACCTGTAACCGGCGAGTCCCTAGCGAGCCCTCTGGCCGTGGGCGTGGCTTTGAAACCATAGCTACGCCTGGCCTCAAACCTCACGTAACTTGTGGGCCAAAAGCTGAACTTAGCTGGCCAAACCCTGAACCGTCCTGATAAGGAATTCTAGACTGTTCTGCAGTTGGAAAAGGGCCCATAAAAAAAAAACCCTAAACCCTAAACCCCAAACCCTAAAACGTGGTGTGTTAGGTTGATGGTGTCATGCCGAAGAGCAGCGATCGAATGGGCGACCTCTACGAGCGCTGGAGTGCTGATGACGGCTTCTTGCATGTGAGGCGCATGGGATCATCGCTGGTGTTCTCGGCGTTATTTGTTCTAAGCCCATATTGTGGAGTGCGGAATTGGATCAAGTTTTGAGCTGCCTTCCCGGGCGCTTCCGTGCACAGGTACTGTGCAGAAAACACTCTCGGCGCTTTCGGGTGCCATCAACGTGATGCCTGGCTTGCACGACGTAGGTGGTGTGGATCAGCTTCAGCCCGGAAACTACAGAGGTGTCGGATCTAGGCTCAGGTTTCACGAAGCTGGGTTCTTGTTAAGGGATTTAATTTAAGTTACCATAATAAGGAAACCCTATCATTTACTATAGATCCCTATTATGGTAACTTAAATTAAATCCCTTAACAAGAACCCTGGAAGTCGTACTTGGACGACTTCAGGCACATAACAGGGCTCGGCAGAGTGCGCCTCCAAGCGCTTGCCAAGGAGTGACCTCCAGCTCCGCTGCCATGCAGAGATGTGGGGGTTTCAGAAAATAGGGGACCCTAATATAGTACCCTAAATAATAGGATCCTTATTATAAGGACCCCAAAATAAGGTACCCTAATTTTCGGAAACCCCCATGTCTTGGAACTCCAAAGTCGATGGATCCAAAGTGGTGACTTTGTCGTCGACGCCATGCTTCCGTAACTTCAAGTGCCTTGAGATCGAAACTTTGGATCAGCCAGACAGAACGTGTTCGAGATGGAGCCCCGGCTTATGACTGAAGGGTCGGCAGCTTGAGACCGCTATCTCGAGCCTCCGACTCGAAAGTTCCTGTGCAGCTCTGTCCGAGCGCCACGCTTTTTCACTGTACATACGCTGGCCCACGTGTCCTTGCAGAGTTCCATGGCATGGAAGGCACGTGGGTCTAGAGCCCTGACTCCTCGAGGGCTGCTAAGATCCTGGCAGGACTTGGACTGTCCAAGCCAGGGGAATCCCGTGTGAATGCGCTTCTTTCGCATGAAGGGAGGGAGGGGCCGAGAAACCATTTGGGGGTTTCCGAAAACAGGGGGACCCTAACATAGTACCCTAAATAGTAGGATCCCTATTGTAAGGATCCCAAAACAGGGTACCCCTTATTTTCGGAAACTCCCATTTGCGCTTGCGCTTGCTGAAGTCCGCCAGGCTCTTGAGCTGCTTCGATGCCTGCAGGAGTCAAGTAATTCAATGCGGGGTCTGCACCGATGCACGTCTTCTCAGTCTGACAACATAGTCATAGTCGCCACCCCCGCAGGCTCCATGGTAGCTTGCATCGTGCTTGAGAAGACGGCGTTGTCCGTCGGAGGGGCGATTCAGACATCGGACTGTCGAGCGCTGGCTTTCCGCTGACTCTAGTCTGACTCTAGTCGGTTCATGAACGGAAAGTCATGAAGCTCGCGCGAACGTCCGGACATGTTCCGGTCAGCTCCACAAGACATGTCTTCAGCACCACCAGGTCTATCCAATTGGAGTAGCATGCAGGATTGCTGAGAGATGTCGAGATGTGAATGCCGTCCGCGTTGTGGTCCGTGCAAGGGCGTAGCTCAGAATCTCGGCTCTGTACAAAAGTCGGGCTGCGTGAGCCATGGCCAAGACTAGGGCAGGACGACCAGCAGATGCCAGGTTCCGCCTTAAGTATTGTATGCTGACTCTCTTTCGTTAAAAGCAATGTATACCTTCAGAGGACGTCATCATGTCGTAATGATTCATAATGTCATGGAGAGTCCCCAGCTCACGAAGCATGGATGCCTTAGTTGTAACTACAAGGACGTTGCTGCAGATCACCCAGACCAGCCCCGCGTCTGCTTGGCCGTTTGTGCGACACCTCGGGAGCTCCTTCTGTTCCATCCGCTTTCTCGTTATTTCTCTTTAGATCTCAGTATACATGTACTGTACCTAGCAGTTGCGATGATTCCAACTGTGCTGCATGGTCTAAGCTTCGGGGCGTTAACGCGCAGGATCCGGAGGATTTCAGTCAGGACCCAAAGGGTTGAGACGGGCAAGATCAGTGTTGCGGGATACGGGACGGCCAGAATTCGGAGGCTTCATCATGTGGGGTGGTGGATTGCAGTTGGATAGTAGTGATAGTACTGTGAGTGTTGTCATTGAGGAAGGCGTCGCTTCGTTTCCCGGCTGAAATCCTTCCGGAGCTTGCCTGCAATCTCGTCTGTACAGCGGCTGCGGCTTGATGTACAGAGAAAATGCGTGAGAGTCGCTTGCGGGCTCGATCCCCGTTACACCCTGCCTGTCAACAGATGCCCCCGGGGGTCATTGTGGACAGATTCTACTGGATTCTGTTGCAGAAGTCGCGAGCGGTTGGCTTGGAGATCTCTCACAACAGTCCTTTCCGATTGAAAGGCCTCAAATCATCGGGTGAGAAACGCCGCAAGCCGCCTCGCCAGGCGGACGAGCTGACGTTGGATCCTGGAATCAGGATTGCTTCATGTGAGTGTCCAATGGTCCGTCCGTGTTTCGTAGATGTCTGTCGCGGATGCAGGACGCTCAATTCCGCCTTGGCGGCATGCGGAGCAGGCCAGTTGCTGTCGTCCAGATTGCAACTTGCAAGTAAACTGCTGGGTGAAGCCCCGAAGGCAACGAGTGGTGCTGGGCTCTGCATCTCTTCGATCAGGCGGTGGAGCGTTCAGGGGAGAGCCTGGGATCACGATGTTGAAGTAATTAGAATAGGGTTTTGGGTTATATTATATTATAACTATAATAAGGAGCCCCCAAAATAGTATTAGTAATTATTAATGCATTGGGATCATTGGGAGTTGGAGCCATGCCATGGAGGCTCAGCAGGGACTCCACGGAGCGCCGAATGCCCGGCACTCGACTTCTAGGGCCCCCCTAAACCCTAAACCCTAAACCCTAAACCCTAAACCCTAAACCCTAAACCCTAATCCCTAAACCCTAAACCCTAAACCCTAAACCCTAAACCTGTTGGGGCTTTCAGGTCGCCTGAAGGTTTTTTTTTTTTTGGGACTGGGCCGTTCCAGGTGGTCACCTACAACTCAGCGATCGCTGCCGTTACCAAGGCAGATCAATGGAGGACCGGGTCTCACAGTTTAGCCATGAAAAGAGAGAGGGGGAGTGCCCGGGGGAAGAAGAAGAAGAAGAAGAAGAAGAAGAAGAGAGAGAGAGAGAGAGCTGTTCGCACAGTCGCCATACGTCAAGCAGTAACACACTGCGGGGCGAAGTACAGAGCAAGCTGCTGTGATGAGAGGAGGCCGGGGGTCAACAAATAGGTTTCAAGGCAGGGGGTTCAGAGCTTCCAGACCTCGGCCTCATCTCGGCACGAGAACCAGTGCGCGCGCGCGCGCGGGGGGGCGGAGTGCCGCTTTCCTCTAGCTGTGCTGAAGAAGAGTCGCGCGCGGGTGAGGGGCGCTGTCCCCTCTCCCTCAGCCCTTGAGAAAGAAAGAAAGTCGAAGTAAGTGAGGGCTGCCTCTGTCGAGTAAAGCTGTGCTGGCATTCCACCTCGACCCTCGGTTTCAAGTAGCTCAGGCTTGGCCTCCAGCTTTTCGAGCAGCTGGCTGGCAGCGCCACCTTGCAGGAGCGGCAAAGGGTCACGTTCCTCACCCAAGCGGTCGTAGAGCACTGGTTGCCGGATGCGTCGGTGCTGTCTCTCTGCTGAAATCCCGCATGCTCTTGCCTCTCACAAGAACTCTAGCTATCTCTATTTGACTCTACAGCTCCTGGCCCAAGAGCAATTAAAGGGAGGAGCGGACTTGCATTTCGAAGTTCAAGTGCTGCGAAAGAAAGCCGAGAGGAACGTGATACCCAAATGAGCAGCACACAGACAGTCCAGATCTGGTGAGGTCTCGGCTTGTGCAAGGCAACCGGATGCTCTGATACCTTGCAAGCTCGACGACCAGCTCGAAGAGGTGAAGAGAACTGTTGTGGCAACACCGAAAGGCTTTCTGGGCTTCTTCGTTGGCGACTCATCTCCTCATAGACATCTCCTCACCCTCTGTCGCTCCCTTGCTTCGACTCATCTTTTGCCCAAAGCATCACCTTCTATTTCTGGTGCTATGCCGACCACGACCCACACGCGGGCACGGTCTGACTGGAGTGACTCATGTCAGATCCTCCCTTCGATTTCATGTGTCAGCAGAGGCCCTGAGCTGCCTTGAACCTAACTGCAGAGGGTGTAGAGGTTCGCTGTCTCGCTTGCTACCAGGCAGGGGCTTTCCTTGAAAGCCGACATGTTCAGAGTTTCGTATCTGACCTTCCCGTTTTGAAGTTCGCGCGGGCAGCGATGCTGAAGGAAGTGTGAAGCCTGAGAAGGGGTGAACACATCCGCAGTGAAAAGAGCAAGGGCCATGTCACTTTCTCACTCCTTGTCCACATTTCCTGTCCACACTCCTCTCACTCTCCCTCCCGTTCTTTTCTCGCTCCCAGTCTCTCTCTCTCTCTGTCTCTCTTTCTCTCTGTCTCTCTTTCTCTCTTTCTCTCTTTCTCTCTTTCTCTCTTTCTCTCTTTCTCTCTTTCTCTCTTTCTCTCTTTCTCTTTTTCTCTTTTTCTCTTTTTCTCTTTCTCTTTCTCTTTCTCT